GCCACGCTTGATTATCTCACGACCTAGGAATCCAATCCTGCCGTCCTCATCCAAGCGTCCGGTCAGCTTGACCTTAAGACGGCCCATGAGAAAGTCTAGAAGCTGTTGGTTTGCCTCTTTGGTTCTTGCGGCTAGCAAGATGTCGTCGACGTACACAAGACAAAGCACAAGGATGTCTCCCCAATACCCTTTGTACAACGTAGGTTCTATAAGCGAAGGAAACAACCCCAACTCAGCAAGAAGTCCAGCAAGGTGCTTCTGCCATGAAAGGCCTGCCGATCTCAAGCCATATATGGCCTTCTCCAGGATGACATAAACCTTAGAGCCGTCAAGGTTCTGAAAACATCCCGGCAACTCAAGCACGGTATCAAGAACCAACTTGGCATACAAGAAGGCAGTCGAAACATCAAGTCCCCAGAGGACAAGCGTATCCTGGACAACACGGCAGATGAAAGCATTGAAGGCCTCCACAGAAGCAGTCTGGCTCGCAATGCCCAGCGCGGATGGTTGATTGAAAGCAAAGTCTTTTGCAACAAGGCGAGCACGCACAATGTGCTGGTCGTCAACATCAACCTTGTCAGTGAAGACAAAACGCGACTTAATGATCTTGGCACCTGTTTCCTGGCAGTGGGTTTTAATTTCATCATAGGTGCGTGCGTTGCCGACACCCAAGTTGTGCATGGCAGACACCTCTTTCTGCATTCCAACCCACGTCTTCTCAGGATCCAAAGGCAAGCCACTAACATCATCAACCACAGAAGTGGGCTTGATGACCCACACCTCCCGATCGCCGAAAGGCATGGTCACCCCCTCATCGGGATTACTGTGCTGAGCGGGCGCTTTTCTCTTGAGCTGTGCAGCAAACAAGCCAACCTCACCGTAATCAACAGGACTCAGGTGATGCTTCTGGTCCGGAATCACTGAGAACATGAACTGAGGCATGCTCGTACTGTCAAGAATATCCGGGACCTGAGCTACATCCATGGGCACGGTGTAGTCATCCATATCAACCTGATCCATTTCAACGTCTCCTCCAGGGAGATACTCCTGAGGGAGCTCAAGGTCTTGGCCTGCCTGTGAGGGTTCAGGCACCAAGTGCTGCAGATCCTCAGGAACAGGAGACCCAGGAAGGCTGGGCTCGTAATCCAAGCTCTCTTGTTCAAACTCCACGACTTCAGGATTCGGGTTGATTTTTACTTGAGGCTTGTCAGGGGCTTGTTGCTGTTCCGGATTGTCAAGATCACCGAGCGTATCCCTGATGTAATCACGAAAGCGAACTTTGCAACGCCTAGAGTGGAAGTGTGATCTACCTAAGCATCCCGGACAACGTGCCGTTTTGTTGTTTTCAAGCCATTCAGGCGCCGGTTGCGGCAACGGGATTGCTTTCCTCGGTAGGGCTACCCCCGGAAGGCTTTCATAATCAGGCTCATCAGGATTAGCCTCGGCGATAGTGGGTAACAAGTTCGATGAAAATGTCACTGGGTAGGCCATCTTGAGAGCCCGAGCGACGCATCTTTTCATAGACCCATTCGAGAGTCTGATCATGCAGTGATGCCCTTGCCCACCAATCACAGGGCCGAGATAGGCACCAATGTCGTATCGACCATCAACTTGTGACGCAAGGTGCTCTGGGGGCTGAATGTACATGATGCAAGCAAAAGGAAACAACAAGTGAGGCGTGTGACTCTCACCCAAAGCTCGCTGCAAAGGACTCAACAGTTGACCCTGTGACGTTCCGAACCGGTTGTGTGAAGCAGCCGCGTGGCTGTGAAGCAATTCCATCGCTTCCTCATTTGCCAACAATTTCAAGCCACTCACGCCCTTGGCGTGAAGCTCGTTGGCCAAAGCGGTTTCTTTAAGCGTGCGGATTGCTCTCTCAGCTACCGGGGCGTGCCTGCTAGGAGAGGTTTTGGTAGAACCGAACTCCCACCTGTAACCTCAACAACCTCGGCTGCTATGGCTGCTAAAAGCGGTTCCCCGTCATGTACAACATGAACTTCTTTGAGACCGAATGATTTGAGGAATTTGACTAGCTTCCCCACGGTGACTTTTCGGTAATCTCCTGCATAGGTAGCAGCTGTGCCTACACAATACGTCGGTACGTGCACCACAGCGATCAAACGGATGCCTCGATACCAGTATTGATCCATCTGCACCTCAAGTGGGTCGACACTTTTGCGTGTTCGGGCGGGTGAGAGCCCTTTTGATCTTACACAGCTAGGACAGCCACCCCAATAGGGGATGTGCCCCTGACGTTGGTGGCGCAATCTAGCTTCAGCACCGAGGTTCTCGGGGAGAGCTTCTTCGGGGTCTACAGGGGGCCTGGTGTTCTGAGGAGCTGTTATCTCTAACCCGTCATGGTCATCACCATCATCACCAAAAAGCTGCTCTAGCTCTGCAACACCAACGCCACCACCCACATCACCTGAATCAATCAATGGGCGACCGACCGACATGCACGCTGAGCTACCTACTGGCACGCAAGCTGCAAGACCTAAAGGAACACAAGCTGCACGACCTACCTGCAAACATGCTGGGCAACCTACCTGCAAACATGCTGGGCAACCTACCTGCAAACATGCTGGGCAACCTACCTGCAAACATGCTGGGCAACCTACATGCACAAACTCTCCTACTGCAACGCTCTGCGAAACCACCTTTCGAGCAGCTCCTTTTGCGGGCGGCTCGGAAGAGACCTGACGGCAGTCAATCAAAGATCCTCGTCTGAGGAGATCGTCTCGAACTCCTCCAGGTCGACAACCGGCACCATTGGCGCAGGCTTCGCTGTGAGGTGTGCCGGAGGAGGCACAAATCGTTCCTCTGGCGTGGGCATCTCGATGGTGTAGTGAACGCCCACCACCGCCCGGGGTTTCGGCACACCCTTGGGTGCTCCTTTCGACACCGGTAGCAGCACCCTCTTCGGCAATGGCACCACGACTAGAGGCCGTGCCGTCGGCAAGGGTACTGTGGTAGGAGCCGAGCTTGGCCGTGCCGTCGGCATCGTAGTAGGTGCCGAGCTTGGTCGTGCCGCCGGAACCGGCACAGAGGTAGGTCTCGGTGTCGAAGTAGGCCTGGCCCACACCTGAATTGGCGGCGGATAAGGGTGGTACCGCATGTCCATCACGGGCGCCTGCATAGGCACCAATGGCGGCGGAGGTGTGTTCTCCACCTCGGGGGCCGGAGGAGGGCTCGGCATCCTTGTCGAAGCGGCCTTTGCTTGAGCACTGGCCTTTGCTCGAGCCGCGGCCTGTGCAAAGTCCGTCACTTCTCTCTGGCCCAAGAACCCCATCCGGGCACCTTCCATGGCCGAGAAGGGCATATGCCTCGTCGGCACCCATAGGATCCACCGTCGGCACCGGAGGTGTTGTTGTTGCCACCGGCTTTGCCACAGGGGCCGGCGATGTCAAAGGAGCCGGGGTTGTCACAGGAGCCGGCGATGTCACAGGAGCCGGCGTTCCCATAGGAGCCGGCGTTGCCACAGGAGCCGGCGTTGCCACAGGGGCCGGCGTTGTCAAAGGAGCCGGCGTTGTTGTAGTCGTGCCCTTCGGCGGCTTTGGAATCGCTGCTTTCGGACCCTTCGGCGGCTTTGGAACCGCTGCTTTTGGAACCTTTGGAGCGGCAGCCTTCGGAGCGGCCCTCGGTGGGGGTGGTGCTGTCCAGATGTTGGGCGGCGCTGGCGCGGCCTTTGGCGGACTCTTTGGCGGACTCTTTGGCGGAGTCTTTGGAGTAGAGGCTGGCATTGCCTTCGGAGGTGTCACTGGAGAGCTGGTGGTTGTCTTGGGAGGCGTAATTGGCTGCTGCATCCCACGCGCCGTGGCCACCAGCTTCTGTCGCCTCGCAGAGGCCTTCTCCCCAAAGCCCACCAGTTGGCTTATTCTGTCCACCGTCACGTCCTCGTGCGAGCTGGCGGCCATAGTTTGGGAGCCCTCGGTCGGCTTCCAATTCCCCCAGTTCTCGTCGTCGCTCTCCGAAGCAACCTGATCCCGGATGCTCTCCACCGCCAGGGGAGCACTCGAAGAAGTCGGCATTGGAGCCGGGGGCCCAATTGGAGCCACTCTCCCTCGCCTGCGTAGGTCCTACGGCGTAGGTGCCCTGCTCCACTGGAGAGTCTGGGCTGTCCTGGCGAGCCAGCGAACGAGCTCCCGCCTTGCTTGGCGGCCCTCTGGCTCCACTCCTGCGCCCGGGATGGCGATCTCCTCCGGGGGCGTCACCGGTGAGTTCTGGAACTCCGCAAAGAGGCTCGCAGCGAAGCTCGTTGGAGATGCCGGGGCTTCTGGAACAGGGCTCTGCGAAACTCTCGGAGATAATTCCACTGACGTCGTCGGGCTGGGAGCCCGAACTGCATCCGAAAGCTCGGTGCCCTCCGGGGGCAGGTTTATCACCCGGAACACGGAGTCCTCCATCTCGAGGTCCATCTCGTGGTCGGACCCAGCCATCGTCCCTTACAGGTTCTACTGGGCCTTCAGAGCAAGAGTGGGCTAGGTGAGACGAAGCGACCGACCGACCAACACGCGCTCCTACGGTTTCAAGCCCTACTCCTACACCTACAGGGTGAGACGGGACAACAGAACTCACGCTTCCCTTCTCAACCGACTGCACGGAACCATCAGTAGAATCAGGCTCAACGTAGGTACAAGCTTTCAGCCACGACGTGTTGGCATACAATTCTGTCTCAAAGCGCAGACCACCCGGAGGATAGGCAACATGTAACTGAGGATCATAGTCATAATGAAAGATCCTAAAGCCTAAAGACTGCAAGATGCCTGAGCTAAGGATGCTTATCGAATTGGGAGCAATATACGCTTCCAGCTGCACTCGAATCTCTCTGTAAGCTTGGGTTCCAGAGGGCCCCGCTTCGAAACAAGGGAACCAAAGCTCTAGCAACCCATACCTAGTTATCTCCATAGTTTGGTCGTTTGCGACACTTACAAAGAGAGGCTCAACCTCAAGCTCACGGATCAGCTTCGCAGTCACTCCAAGCATGTCTTGCGAAACAAGGTGAACACTCCCACCGCTATCAATCAGGAGATACGAGGGGTCGTCCCTAGTGACTGCAGGAAGTGCCAAAGTCGGAAAAGCGAGGCACTCTGAAGACCGATCCCGAAGCTGAGGCTGCGGCGCGGAAGCAAGGCTCAAAGCAACCACTGCTACGGCTACGCCTACGCAAGCATACGTGAAACATGACTGCCGTGGGCTACTCAAGCATGCAACCAACCGACAAATCAAGCATCCTACCATGCAAAACATGAAAAACATGAAAATCAAGGCAGTCATGGTGAAAAACTGTCCCCTCTCAGGCATTGCTTCAGAAATCTGCCCTGCCGCGGGCAACAATGACGACATAAGGAGGGCTGCTTTGCCAATCTTCCCGGCACCCTTTGGAGCAGTGGGAGCTGGCGCAGCAGTCGAGGGAGGTGCAGGAGGGGCCACCTTGGGAGCAGCACTCTCTGTTGCCGCCGCTGCTGTCGCAGCAGCCTTCTCATCGGCAATCCTCTTCCTGCACTCGTTGGCCCAATGGCCCGGCTTGTGGCAGTAATTGCAGGTGCCCGGCTTCTTCTTCCCAGGAGCCGGCGTCGAAGATCGGGCCCTTCCGCCCTTCTTGCCACCCTTGCCTTTGTCCTTTCCCTTTCCTCCTTTGTCCTTGCCTTTGCCTTTATCACCATGCTTGCCTTGGTCCTTCCCGTGACCTTTTCCTTTGGGCTCGCCACCCTTGGGCTCACCCTTCTCAGAACGATCAGCACCAAAAGCTGCAAAGCCCTTGGCGTTCGAGGCTTCCTTGTGAAAGTTCAAAACACGAAGCTGCTCATCATAGAAAACCAAACCGCGCTCAAGCTGCTCCAAGGTTGTCAAAGACCCATGCAACAAAAGGTACTTCTTGCAATCATCATGAAGGTGCTTCAAGATGCAGCTGATAACATCAGCCTGCTGCAGTTCAAGGTCTGGGTACTTGCTGGCAACGAGCGTGCGGTAGCGAGCAAAATCAGAAATCATATGGCGAAAAATATCCAATGGCCGTCTCAAGTGCTTTGGTGGCGCGATCAAGAGAGCCTGCTCTCTGAGCGCCTGTCCCTCCACACGAGACCTAACAGACAGTTCTTTGTTCAACTCACGCCAGAGGTCGTACCCTGCAGCGGCACCGCCTTGACTCAACTCGACAAGCTTGGCTATGTCAACTCCTCGCTGAAAACCAGCGAGAGCCTGCTTCAAGAGGTACCACAGCTTAGTGGAACGAGCGGCCTTCCCCTTTGCGAGGCTGATCTGTTGAACCTGAACACCGCTCTCCACAGCCTCTTGCAGTTCCTCCGCGTAGCGGTCATCTAAAAGACACAGCCAGGAGGTCAGTTCTTCACGGTAAGCGGTCCATGTGGAGATTTCCTCATGGCGCGATCTCATCTTGTCTGCTGCCAACTTTGGCAGGGACGGAATGTAGTTCTCCGCCCTGTTGCTGCGCAAGCCTGTGTCCACATCCATATTCACAACACCATCAGATCCAACTCTGATGGCACCCAGGCTTCCAAGAGCTTCAGCGGGCGTCCCTTGGGACGAACTTGCAGCAACAGGAGCTGCACTTGCGGCCGAACTTGCAGCGTTTGCACTCGCAACGGCGAGCGTCTTCACCATCTCGGTGAGCTGCGAAATCTGGCCCTGCTGAGCTCGGATCTGTTCATCCTGGGCTTGCAACATCTGCCTGAAAAGGTTGACAGTGTTGTCTTCTGGACTAGGCACAGATGCCTGCTGCGGATTCCCTCCTCCGTGAGGGAAAGTCGGTTGCGTTCCAAACTGAGGCTGCTGCTGCTGCTGAAAACCCTGCTGCAACGGAACCTGTTGAGGTACCTGTGGAAAAGGCACCTGAGGCACTTGACCTGCACTCACAAGAGGTCTGGGTCTACTCACAGGCCGGTGTGCTGTCGGACTGTTCCGAGCAGGGAGGGACCTTCCACGAGTCCGCGAGCCAGGTGCACTCAACTCTCGAGGGGTTGAGGGAAAGCCAGAAGAAACTCCACTGGCACGACTAGCACTTCGCCCCGAACTCCGTCCTCTTGGGGAACGGTCGCGGCTAGGCTCGGCTCGTGGATCCATGGCTCTGAGGAGCAACCTTGAGCTCCGCTACCACGTTAAAACCCAAACGCGCCTTGAGGCACACTTCTAGGTTTAGTAAAAGGAGGTGCAAGCCGACTGACTACGCCACACAAGGCCACAGCAGTAAAGCTAACAGCACTTTTACACCTTTCTTCGCAACCAACTGTTCACCACGCGCTTGTCACGCAGTGCAAGTCTTGAGCCAAAGTGAAACGGGGCGCAGACAGAGACTTCAGCACACTCACTTCCGCGGTAAGTCCTAAGGACTCCTAACGGCTTCTCTGCACTGGTAACTCTGTTCTATGGCCCAGGTGCTCCCCGGACTTCGTCTAGAAGTCCGTTCTCACAGCAAACAAACTGAAAACACTCTGATGTTCATCATGCTTCAGGGAAACACCGTTCTTCGTGAAAACTCGTGAAGAAAACTCCGGTTGGACACGCTTCTGGCAATGATCACTTTCACCGCAAGGTGAGACAGGAAGCCTGAGCGCAGCGACCGACAGACAGACAACTTTTCCCTACTCCTACCGTTCACAACTATACCTAAGGTTCTCTAAAACTCACAAAGGAGAAAACAGAAAGTGTTTCTGACCTTGGCGAGACACAGAGGCACCATTATAGGATTGAAAATCAACTCGCTAGATGGCTTCTCTTGCAGAAAGCTATGCGAAGAGATTGCAAATCAGTGTTTCTGCGGCGATGGCAGTCTCTGCCTTGTCTTTGGTGTGGAAGCACCTGGACCAGCACATTAACGTTCGCTACGGCGACCTCTGTCATTTCGATTTGACGGCTGACTCCGATTTTTAGCTCACTCCGAGTGACATAGATATGTTTCTCATGGCAGTGGTGGGCATGCGCGCCAATTTGGTTGTGATTGAGCTTGCACCATAATTGGCAGGAGGCGGAGTACGAGACTGTGAGAGTGTGGTTTAAGCAAGTTGCCAGCGAGCAATTGCACATCACCGCAACTGGAACGCTAGTAGCCGACACCAAACTTCCACAAGGATGGTACGATTTTGCGATAACAAAAGAGAATATCACAGCAGACTGAAAGATCCACAAGCTTGGATGCTTGAGTCAGAGGACTTCAATGCCTTTGGCGGAAAAAAATAGGAAAGAAGAATAATAGGGCAAGAGGTCAAAAGGTACCTCAGTGACCAGAAGACTGAGAAAGCATTTGTTCTTCTGTGAAGACGAACACTCCATGGCAAGACCTCTTTGGCGGATGTTGCAGAGGTGCCTTTTACAATGCTTTGGGCTGCCTAGGTGTGCTGCACATTCTTTTTAATGCACTGGAAGATGCTATGTGACTGGAAGCCTTTCGAGACTGAGCTGTCAGCAAGATCTTTGGTCACAAATCTCATGTGGACCTTGTCATCCAGTACTGCCTTGGTCTCACTTCAGCAGACGAGGCGCAGATCAATCTCCGTGTGTGGCCGAGCGATGAATCATCGGACCACTTATCACGGAGAATGGAAATCGCACGAAGCCAAAACTGGGCAATAAACTCGATTGATTCCCATCGCTTGAAGCTTGCAGCCCTCGCAGATGGCCAAGACCAGTCCGAGCGAAACGAGGTCATAACTCTTTGGACGTGTTCGTTAAGCGGCACTCTTGGTGAATGTGCTTGATGGTTGAAGAGTTGCTTCTGCCACGAAAAAACGATTGCTTTCAGAGGCAAACGGAAAAGGTTGTCTGCTGCAGGACTGGGCCAGCATTGCCCGCAGCAGAGAATGCTAACATGCTCACTAGAGCTGAGTAGCAGGATTTGGAGTTGAACAGCTGGGTTTCAAGAAGCAATGCCACCACCTGCGCCAGACAGCGTAGACAGCAGGTTCTCGCCATGCTGTAATCTCCAGCCGAAAAGGAATTTGTTGTCCTGAATTTCAGAACTCGTAGCATGTGGCCGG